GAGATGACCAGGATGTGGGTGACTCTGAGAAGGGCTTCTCGATTCAGGAACACAGCACTCTGCAGATGCAATAAGACCAGAGGAACACTTTCTCACTCTTACTGTCAAAAAGTAGGCTTTAATAGGGGCTCTAATTTATGATTGATTAGATTCATATCAGGGGTGAAATCAACTTACCTTTGCTATCAGTCTGCAAATGTGAATGCATGTGCCACCTCCACGCATGGGCAGAGCATCAAAAATGGGACATGATGACGTGTGGGTGGAGCCTCCCACTGCCACTGCTACCTATTCGCTGGAACGTAGAACGGTCTGAATTGCACCACTGATTCATAGCTTGTCTTTCACCAGTAGTGCTCTAGACATCTTTTTACCCTTTTCAACTCCCTAAACTCCTCTATAAACCAGAAGTGACGTGAAGAGATGATGTATAGGTACAATTCTACCCAGGACCTCGACCTTATTCTTTTCCAGTTCCTTACTCCAGTTTTGCTGAAAGGAGTTGCAATTTTCACCAAATGACTATCAGGATGTGACTCCAAATCTATTTATTTGAAACTCAAGCCACTGAATAAATATTTGTCGCACCTTACATGTAGTTGATGATATTAGACAAATGGCAAAACATTTTTATTGTCTTCTACTTAAAAACAAAGCAAAGCAAAAATGAGTAAGAATGGAATTCCTAAGAATAAAGTTTCTGGATTCTCTGTGCCCCCACCCAAAACTGCCTGGAAAAAAAGAGAAGAACGAGCATCTGATTAGCAATTCTTCATTGTGGGTTTTATTATGTTAAATTTGTAGAAGCAGATTAGGCTTGTTTTAAGCTGTTCCCTAAATAGCCTGGGAACTAAGAATTAAGCACAGATCCAGCCCATCCCCTCTAAACCAACCCACTCTTTTCCAACTCCAACACCTGTTGTTCAAAACACATCACACAATGGCCTTCATCATATCCCCCAGCAGATGTGAAAGATGCCCAGAGGTCTCTCAGATGTTTGTTTTCCTGGGTCACACAAGGGCACCAGGAAGGGGAGGAAAAATTATTCTGGAATTCCAAAGGTCACTGCTGGACAAAAATAGTGAAAATTGCCCACATGTTGAGAAAAACAAAGACTTTGAGTGATCTGGAAATCAGACAGCAAAGAATTATCTACTATGTTTGAAATAAAAATGTCAAATATGTAGGGGCACTACACACACACACACATATACACACATCTCCCGTACATCTTTTCCATTTTTATTTTATAGTGTGTGTGTGTGTGTGCGCGTGGGCACGCATTCACGCATGTGTATGATAATTGGTATGATCTAATTCATTTATCTTCTAATATTTGTACATTTAGGTAGCTATTGTTGGGATTTGTACTGTCTTCTAATGTTTAATGTGTGTATGAGTATGTGTAACAATAGTATAAAGGAGGAGGATGCATTGATTTCCAGTGTTAAGATATTATATAAATTAACTTTAATTAGAAAAACTTTTTTATATCATATGAGCAGACTTGGAAAACTGTGCTAAGCAGAAGGTAGGTTGATTAGGGACTAAGTTTTAAATTTTTACTTACCGGTAATTTTTGTCAGGCGATCTAAAGCAGAGTATAGCATCCTAGAGAATGCTAAGTTCAAAAGTGCAATTTTCTTTGCAGCAAAATATATTCCATAATAATTGTAAATACCACAGCAGCAACTACATGCATGTCCACCACTTAATGCTCTTGTCTGGTTTATGGAACGTTTAAACAGAACTATCTGTGCTTGATAGCTGTGCCCATTTATTTCTGATTTAGCTGCAATATAGTTGAAATGCCAGTCAAAATATTACATTTCTTAAAATTCTCAGATTCTTTAGAGCTGTTGTATGGACCATTTTCTCATTTTCAGAAACGTTTTCTTGGCATGCCTACTCCCTTAAGATACCATAGTGCTCTTTCAAGGAGAATACCTTATCCCCTTCTGATAGGAACTTTATTAAAGCAGATGATACAAGAAATATGGGTAGGGGTGGAGGCATTACTAGCAATATCTTTTCAGGTTTTTTGTGTGTGGAGGAGGGGTAAGGGGATTTTGGCTACTCCAGGACCTGTGACATAGTGTGACAATTCATAACAAAGCAAGAATTAAATGGTGGTCATATTTTCACATTGAATGAAGTGAAACTATTTTACAGCACTATCTTTCAGGATTTGGGAATGAGGATTTTTGCCTGGATGCCAGAATCTTCAATTTGCCCAACTATTCTTTAATAGGATCTTTTCTAATGAATGCAATACGATGCATTTAGTCAATTGCATGGTTGATGTCAGGCTTAGAAGTATAATTCTGGCTGTATTTCAGAGCAAACATTTCCAAAATGATCATAAATTCAGTAGAAGTCAATGGAGAAAAGTCTATAACTTGGCAAATATGGTTTGTCAAATCCTACAATTATCCACAGTAGTAATCTCACTTCATTTTTGAGCTTATTTTATAATCATGAGTGAGGTAGCTAGGGACATACATTGTTGCTAATGCTTATTTATATTTATATTATGTATTATATATACTATGTATTATATATTTATATTATGGGGACCCAGATTGTTGGAGGCAATATGCCGACTCTGTAAACCGCTTAGGGAGAGCTGTAAAGTACTGTGAAGCGGTATATAAACCTAAGTGCTATTGCTACTTACTGTTCTAATTATGTATTTCATTTTTTCAAGAATATGTCAAATATTCCCCAACACAATGTGTGCTTATTTTAAAGATGGTCCCTATAATATTATTAAGCCCAGGGCAATTGCTGCAATATTCTCAGTAAGTTACTTTATTGCTAATTTTTATAAAGAAAATTCCAGAGATCATTTTTCCTCAGACCAAAATACAGTAAATATTTTTTTTTTAGTAGCAGTCTTGAATGCCTCCGTTTGGATACAATGGGGAAAGGACAGATTGGTCTATTGATACAAAGGCATGGTGGGTGAACTGCAGTCATTTGGAATTAGAACAAAAATAATTATAGTCAGGTGAAAATGATACTTGTGGTCATTTTGAAAAACAAGAATCTGCCAAAGGCACCCCTGCCATCCATAGTTCCCTTCCTGCTGTGCAGTGTTTTCAATGGGGAAACCAAGAGGGAGAAATGCTCAGGTCACAGTGGGTGTCTAGCATCAAAGCTTTAGCAAGGTGAGGCAGAAGCCCTGCAGCAGATGACCAAGGCCGATAACAATCTGGGAGTATTTGAATACAGAACAATTCTTTCTTTTTTTTTCCTTTTTGCTCGTTCCACTTCATTTTCATTTCACACCTGTTTCTCCTGAATCAGATAAATTCAGACTCTGCTTCCTCCTTGATATTTTTCCACCTTCCTTATTTAAATTATTTCTACCTGAGCCATTGACAATTCTGAGCGACAACAGACTTTCTTGCTGCCTGAACAAAACGAAATGACACACACACACACACACTTTGTCTCTCTCTCACACACACAGACACATGCTTACAAACATATTCACACATGTATACTTCTTTTTTTCTTTTTGCTGTTCTTATTGTCATTTTAATCTGACGCTTGTAGCTTTTTTAAAAAAATCCTTATTTTAGGCAGCTTCCTTATGCCAGTCGAAGAGGAAATCTGGCAAAGGTAAGGCTGACCTAGAATAAATGATGAACCTTTTACATCAGACATCTTTTGTGCTCCGTGCACAAAAGCTCTGGATGTGGCCATTAAAGTGGAACCAACCCTTATTATGCCAATGTTTTTGTAAAGGGCAATTCCAAACTGCCTTCTCCTCCTGACACTTTGGGCTTTTGTTTGTAGTAGGTGAATGGTGGAGAGTGAAAAGGTGGATTCCTCCATGTCTGAGGTCACAGCTATGTAGTTTCCATTCTTCTAGCTACCTTGCCTGCAGCAAGGGCTGTAAACTATAGGAAGGCATCACATTTACCTCAGTTAAAGGTTTGGCACAATAAACCAAACATTCCTTTCCCTCCTCCTCAGCAGTATACTGGCGGATCAATGTATAGGGAGGAGATCCTCACCTACTGTAGTACCTTGGCCCACCCTGTGCAATACATATGTATCTCCTCCAAACTTCCCACAAATCTGGATTGCTGTAACTATGCTAATTGGGACATGAGGAGGAAGATGTATTTTGCACCCATTAAGTAGAGAACATCACATAATGCATTTGGGTTTCATTTAGCATATCCCCTGAACTACAGTCACCCTTGTGGCTTGCAAAATATGGCTTATGTTTTAATAAGGTGCGTGAGCACAGCCAGTTGTGCTTTATTTTGAAATCTGAGATTCAGATTCCTCATGAGATGCGAACAGCCTCCACCCTACTGGTATGTTGAAGGGCCATAAAGATCTTGCTCTTTGCCTAGGCTTTTGGCAAGGATAATTTGTGTCCCTTCCTTCCCTTTCCTTGTTTTCATCCATGTTCGCTTTCTCTATGTTTATTTGCTTTGCCTCACACATGAAGTGCATGCGCAGGTGGGCAGGGCATAGTTATAATTTTTGAGACTTTTTTAAAATTTAAAATGCTTTAAACAATTTTTAATTTGTTCCGGGAATCACTGGGAGTAAGGCAGCATATAAATTTAATATGTTGTTGTTGTTGTTGTTGTTGTTGTTGTTATTCGTTACGGCGTCCTAGGCCCCTGGGTGGGGCCCGACTAGTAACAATGCCAAATCTGGCTAAACAACTGGCCGCTGTGATACAATTGTATATTATTATTATTATTATTATTATTANCTTCAAACTCAATTGCAGAAAATACAACTTCAGCAAGAGAGTGGTCAATGCCTGGAATGCTCTACCCAACTCCAACTGCACAGCCTCCAACCCTCACAGCTTCAATCTCAAACTGTCTACTGTGGACCTTCTCACCCCATTCCAAATGGTCCATAAAGGGGGCGTGCATAAGCGCACCAGTGTGCCTACTATTCTTGCCCTACTGTCCCCATTTATCTGTATTTACTTCCTTTGTTCATGTTTATGTTCATACCTCTACTTGTTATCTTGTACATGTTTGACAAACAAGCAAATAAAATAAATAAATCCTCATCATTTTGAGACAGGACATGCTTGATGCTTGTATCTCCCAACATGGACTTACCATAGCTCAGAAAGCAAAGACCTGCCTTCCAAAGTTCCCAACCAATCAAAAGAAAAACAGCCTCAAGGACTGCTCTATTCTCTGTGACCCACAGCTCCCCAAACTATAAAATAACAGTTTCTCATACACAAATGGGCAATTTCACAGATTGCATTAAATTAAAAACGATAACAGAGGAAGCTAAATAATCTGTGAATTGTAGCCAACATAGAACATATGTCAGGATCTGTCAAATTCATTGTTTACAAACTTGTCCTAAAAAACATCAACAACCCAAAACAAATCATGTGGTTATTCATCTCATGAACTTAATATTCCATTCATTCCTTACCTCCAGATTATCTGGTTCCAAATCCTTCCAGACAACAACCTTCCCGTCTTCAGCCAAAGTTTCATTTTTCAGTGGGAAGACCACTTGGCCCAGGAGAATGAGCTTCTTCTGCTTGTCAACATGATAGACACAGAACTTCAGTGTCCTCTGAAATATAACAGTGTTCGAAATCTACAGAGGAAGAAGCACAGAAGGAGAATCAGTTGGAATGAATCTTACCACAGCTCTGAACATAAGGAAGACTAAGATAATCTGGAATAGTCAGGATACAGCAGAACCTTCTTCATTTTAATTCTGAGCGTACATAAAGCTCCATACTGGTCAGTTTTTCCATGGGAGACTTTTTCAAAAGTTTCATGAAGGATAAGGGATCATTGGATCCAACAATTCAATGGTCTGCCTTCAAATGAGAATAATCTTTCAAGCATACCACAGTTGGTCATTCCTAGCTCAACATTTGGGAGAGATAAGGTCTTGGGGATTGTTTGGGGGCTGGTGTGACTGGCTGGCTGAAAACCTGAACCTGAATTCCAATCAAAGAATTACCAAGAAGAAAACAACACTTCTACCAATACTGACAGGGCAAGCCACTTATATATACATAAAGAGCACACCCCACTCCCTTCTAGCACTGATGATGCTGTCTGGTTGGTTAATGAGACATCTGCAAGCAAACCACCATGCTCAGAGAGCACCAAGGTCCAAGGACCCCACAGAACTACTACTCCTCCTCCCTGGAAAACTAACTCCCTTCTAGCACTGATGATGTTACCCAGTTGGGTAATGAAATGTCCAGAAGAAAACAATCCAGTCTAGAGAGAACCAAGAACCTCACTGTCCTTCTCGGAAACCCTATTCCCTTCTAGCACTGATAGCAATCCCAATAGCACTTAGACTTATATACTGCTTTAAAGTGCTTTATAGCCCTCTCTATGCAGTTTACAAAATCAGCATATCGCCCCCAACAAGGCGAGTCCTCATTTCACCCACCTCAGAAGGATGGAAGGCTGAGTCAACCTTGAGCCTGGTGAGATTCGATCTGCCAAACTGCTGGCAGCCGGTGATCAGCAGAAGGACCCTGCAGTACTCCACTCTGACCACTGTGCCACCACTGTGCTCAATATGATGATGGATTGTTTTCATAAATGTCCAGAAGAAAACAATCCTGTTCAGAAAGCACCAAGAACCCCAGATTTCTCTTCCTCCTCCTCCACAAACCCCATCCCCTTCCTCTTGTGCACTGGTGACATTACCTAATTGGGATATGCAAAGCCTGCAAGAAAACAACCAAGCTCAGACCCCACAATAGGGGTTAATCAAGCTCATCTTCAGCGATGCTTACCTGGAACACAAAATTCTCATCAAACTGAGGATTGAGATTTTTGTGTTTTGTTTTAGATTGCAAGTAACGCCTCTCGTCAGGGAGCAGGTAGATCTTCACCAAGGGGTTGCAGGAACCAGAAGGAGGCTGAAGCTTTCGGGCTTTAATCAAGGACACCAGGAGCCTTTCTGACTCTTTCTCATATTCCACGGAGAACCAAAGCCGACCAATGTTTCCTTCTGGAAAGTCCGTCTCACTCTTGTCTTCTGGAAAGCGGTAGAGTTCTGGATTTATGGTCCCTACAAGGTACGCTCCAGCTTGAGGACAGAAAGGAAAGAGCCAGCCTCACTGAGTTCAAAGCATGAAGTGGGCAAAACTTATTTAAAATTTGGTTGTTTCTACCTTATGTACTGTGGACCATCCACACATTTCAATCAGTGGTGGGATTCAAAAAAAATACTACTAATTCTGTGAGTGTGGCTTGGTGGGCGTGGCAGGGGAAGGATACTGCAAACTCCCCATTCCCTCCAGATCAGCTGGGACTCAGGAGGCAGAGAATAGATGGGGGCAGGGGCAGTCAGAGGTGGTATTTACCAGTTCTCTGAACCACTCAAAATTTCCACTACTGGTTCTCCAGAACTGGTCAGAACTTGCTGAACCCCACCTCTGATTTCAATCAATTGTGTTATAATAATTTTGCATCTGAGAGTGATCGAGTTTTCAAGACAGAAGCTGAATATTACTTCATAACTCTTCTTAAATGTAACGTGGTTCAGTGGAATTAGTTTATAAATCTGTAGAAGATAGTCAACTCAATTCAACTCAATGGACTCTTAATTTATTAATTAAAAGCACTTACATCGTATACACACAATATTTCTGTGTTATCACATAGAATTCCAACCGTTTAAATGTTTTATTGAACCCTTTCCATTATTTAAAAGTGCATTTTTGGATGACCAGGATCACTTAAAATTGCACAGCAGGACCTGGAAAGTCATAACAAATCTTGGGAACAAATGAGACAGTTAAACTCTCTCCTTCAGTCTCTTGATTAAGACATCACCTTAAACTTTGCACTTGGTGGTTTCATCAGGACAGAGGCACCCTCTGAAGTGAGCAGGACCATGTTTCAAATTTCTTTCTGTGGTGTCTTCCGCACCATGAGTGTTTCTGCTCCAATGAAGCAGAGGGGAGGAGGGCTGCAAAGCCAGTGATGCCCCATGCCACCAAGGAACATTCCATTGCCTCCTTTGATCAAGCCAGGAGGAAGACAATGAAGTGAAGCTACAGAACCTTTTAAAATCTCAACAGCCAAAGTGTCAGGAGTGATAAGGTAATGTTTCCATCAGTGGTGGGTTCTGGATCTCGTTGAAACAGGTCCAGTGTCATCCACATGGATGTGTGTAGCACGCATGCGCACACATGCAGCATGTGCATGTGTCTTACCACCTCTGCGATGCTCCAGCTGCTCAACGGAGTGGCGCGCAGGTGCTTTATGCACCGTGCACGTGCACGGAAGCACCAAAGACTTAAAAGACTGGTGAGGAGCTCAAGCAAGTGGGTGGGCCCTCTGGAGCACCGTACCGGAACGGTATCTGGTGCTCCAGGCAGGCTCCGGTACCACCACTGGTTTCTACCAATGAAAAATTATTCCTCCCACATGATCAAGCGGCTCCTTTGGTTGTTGCTAGGGGAAGGGATATTGGTTTTTCTATTCTTTTATACTGGATTTTTATTGTTTGTAAGCTGTAGACTGAGAGTGGGTGGCGGCCCTATATATCTTCTAAATAAATAAATAAAATTATGCAAAGTTTCAGGGCATTTGTTGAAAACTCACACCCATTGTCTTTCCTAATCAGCTATTATAATCTTAACTTTTATCTAAAGGCAAACTTCTGTGGGCTCAACATAAGTCTGAAGCCAATCCAGCTCTGGGACAAATGCTCGCATCCAGTATTTTGAGTGACATTGGAAATACAGGAAGTGATCCTGAACCAGATTGCACCATCAAAATAGGTTCTGACTCTAAACAACTTTAATAATTTTCCTCCTCTGTTTCTGGCAGAAGGGTTTGTTTGTGCAGACTCACAGGAAACTATTGTGTTTAAACAGGAAAGGACTTTGTTTAAATAGCAACGCAATGGCAATGTCCATTGAACTTAATACAGAACTGGGATTTTGGGGCAAAATCCAATTCCTGGCATTCTACTCACTGAAAGAAATGCCAACCTACCTAAAGAATGGAAAGAGGATCGGGGTCCAGAGTCTGGGGTCACATAAAGCTCGCTCTCCTCTTGAATTGGTTCTCCGCTTAGCATATCGGTCCACCCTTGTCGGTGAAATTTGGGTGGGACAATGAAAGGAACACTCTTTGTTCTGTCCAAAGGCAAACACAGCATTGAGTTATATTAAGGAAACAAAAACCATATCAGGAATCTAACTACTCTGAAAACAACACAGGCAAGGTTGAAATATCTGGAACCCTTCCAACTGAAATGGAAGAAATTGGAGCTGAAGTCCGCCGCACAAAAAGTCAAAGGAACTTAAAAGGATGTTTGGCATTAATCAGATCGTACTTGTTTCTTCCCGGCTCTTTTCTAGAATTACATGTAAGAGCATACATCTTCTCATAATTGTACTTACTGACAGTCAGTGGCTGGCAAAGTAGCTGCAACAGTTAAAAAAAATAAACAGTCAATAATAACAAGCTGAACAAAATCAAAGCACCATCTGACAAAACAAGACCAAATAATTAGCCTAAAATTAAAATAGAAAGGTTAAAAAGACTTCTTTGAGGCATCATTTCAAGATTGGGACACCTTGAGTCTTTTTAGAGAACAGCTACTGATTAAAACACTTGGCAATTGAGTGGATAAGGCAGGGCTTCAATCTCAGACCTGGGAATAAACTACCTCCCTTCCAATGGAAATGCAAAGGAGGAGGAGGAGGAGGAGGAGGAGGAGGAGGAAATATAAATAAAATAGAGAAAATTTAAAACCAATAAAAGGGAGAAAGAGTAACAGATCGAAAGCCAAGCCTTCTTCACTTTTTGGCCTCATTTTAATTTGAAAAAAAGTTAAATCGAGGGGATTAATTTTTTTTTAATGGAAAGATGGTGTTTTGGATTGAAACCCAACTTTAAGCATTAAGATTGCCAAAATCATGGCTAAATGACTTTGCATATTGTCCCAGATTCTGAAACTTGACACATATTGCTTTCATTTCTCTTCAACCCCCACAGGGAAATTAATTAATCTAAAGATAACTTATTATAAGAATAGACAGCATGTTCTGAAAATCCACATTTCGTCTGCTTAGAAATTTTAATTACAAAGCATGGTTGTCAAAGATGCTTCCACATCCTATTTATGGTGGAACAATGCAAAGGTTGGGAAAAAATGGCTGGGAACTTGATATGATTTGTGTAAATTCTGTCCCAGGGCTGATACAAATTCTAGAGTTTTTCTTCCAGTTTACCTAATTCTTCTTCCTCCCTCTTTGATATCTTTCCTGGAACATCTTCTATCTCCAATTAGCTGGTAATTAGAAGGAAGAAATAATTGAAACTATCTCTCAACGTGAAGTGCTTTTAAGTTTTTCATGGTTATTTTATTGTTATTATGCAGCCAGGGATTGTTCAATGAGCTGGAAAATGTCTGTTGTTCATGTCATTTATTCAATAATTGTTTGACTTTTGGAATCTTCTGGCAGGGGGTCTTAAATACCTGCATTCTATTTACTTTTATTTTTTGTGTATTTCTTTGGCTGCTTGATAGAGAGGAATGGAAGGTGATGGACTCCTTGTCTCTAAACCCAGTGGTCAGAGAGGCCCTGTATTCCCAGGGTTGATTGTCCTTCCCCAAAGCCTGAGCCACAGAGGTGATCCACTTGAGACTCGACTGGATCCCCTGTCCCTGGCAGAGGAAGGAGATTCCCAAAGAAGGTGATGGCCAGCAGAAAAAGGGCTTTTGTACCTGGCATTTTGAGGAGGAACCAAGGTTGATTGAGCAACATCTGGCTCTTGCAAAATTGAGGTGACCGGATCAGTCAGTTCTTCATAAGAGGCCTTGAGATATTTGCTCTTCCAGAAGAGGTAGGCAGCTATCCCCAAAAGGACCAGAAGCAGAAGTCCAGTTACCACTCCACCAGCCACAGCAACTGCCTGTTCTGAGGTACACAAACACTTGCATGAAACACGCCAAGTGAAGACATCCACTTCCCAAAGGAAAATATATCACATTGCCCAACATTCTGGCAGCTGTTTGATTTCTGCTTAATATTCTAGCTTCATCTCCACCACTTTCCTTTGTAGAAAGGCAGCACCCACCCCTCACCTAGAAGAATGAAATACTGAATGAAAAGGGCAGAATATTACATTTCCCATAAAAGAGAAATAGAAATCTTAAAGGAAACAGAAACTGCCTCCAGAGGAGACCTTCCTTTCATTGAGCCAAATAATTGGGTTTGAATCCAGTGATCCACTATATACTCGTGGATAAGATGATCCTCAAATAAATTGATTCTTGAATTTTTAACCAAATTACCAGAAAAACTGGCTATTTCAGACCTGTTGAAATGTTTGTATCTTTTCTCTTTCACAATTGGTTTATGTCAGGTGTGTCTCCATCAATAACCAAGAAAGAAAACTCCCAACTCCATTGTTTGTGGAATTAAAGATACTTTTACTAGTCATGAAAAGATAGCAGTGAAAGAAAAGCAAGCTCTGAGCCAAAAAGGCATGAACATGTACATATCAAACGTTTATCCAGCAACCTCCCCCCAATCACTTCAATCCCCATCCCAATGGAAAGAAGAATCTTTTAAACCGCAAACGACACCTTCTCTGAAATCCTTAGTCTGTTTCAAGTGTGGAAAAGAGGAGTACCGAGCTGCAAAATGCTGTTCTCAGGCACTGGCTAAGAAACCAGATTGCCCATTGGGGGGAAAACTTATGAAACCTGGCCAGCACAGAAAGGAGATGGCCCTGAGGAGCAGGGAGACGGTAGAATTTCCACCCCCTCCCTTCTTTGAGGAGGAAACCCCAGCTTCGCAGCAGGAGGAACCATACTCATCTGAAAGCGAACCAGANTTCCCTGGGGGTAAAATTTGATGGGAATCCCCAAAAAATGGGATTCTTTGTGGCACACGTGCTCACCTACAGTACAGGCCAGAATATGGGTGTGATTTTCGAACCCAAGGAGCCTGAGTGCGAGTGATCACCCTAGCCCTGGAAGGAGCCGCCGCCAGATGGATGGTGACTTTACATGATGCCGATGCACTAGAACCGCAGGACTTTGATCGTTTCATGATGGCCCTGCGACGACGGTTCAAGGACCCCCATGCAGACTGCAAAGCACGCGATCGCATTAAAGTTGTGAAGCAGGGATGCCAGCCAGTGGCAGAGTATACTGAAGAATTCTGAGACCTGGCATGTCATGTGAACTGGCCAGACTATATCCTGGTAAGATGGTTCAAGAATGGGCTGAGTGATGACCTCTACAATGCTTGTGTGGCCCAAGGTGCCCCAACCCATCTACATGAGTGGTATCTTATTGCTGAAGAGGCAGAGATCGACATGACCAGAAATCAGTACCGGGCAGAACAAATGTGGAAGAAATCCCCACTCCAATGGAAACAAGAACCTTTTAAACCACAAACGACACCTTCTCCAAAATCCTTAGTTTGTTTCAAGTATGGAAAAAAGGGGCACTGAGCTGCAGAATGCTGTTCTCAGGCACTGGCTAAGAAACCAGATCGCCCATTGGGGGGGAAATCTACAAAACCTGGCCAGCAGAAAGGAGATGGCCCTGAGGAGTAGGGAGACCGTAGAATTTCCACCCCCTCCCTTCTTTGAGGAGGAAACCCCAGCTTCGCAGCAGGAGGAACCATACTCATCTGAAAGCGAACCAGAAGATGAACCACTGGTAAGCAAACCAATTAAACCGCTTACCTTGCCCCTGAGACTGTTTATCCCCAACTGGGAGAGGGGGATGAAAATCTCAGCTTTAATGGACTCGGGGTACACCCGCTGTTTGATCAGCCCAACCCTGGTAAGGAAGTTGAGGATTAATGTAAGGAAACTGAAAAGCCCCATAGCTTTTCGCCAACTAGATGGGTCAATAGCAGGGGGGGAGCCAGTTTCATTTGCCACTGAGCTGCTACAGATAGGCATCAGAAGCCACAAGGAAATGCTTACATTTATAGTGGCGCCTGGCATGGAATGGCCACTAGTTCTGGGTCTTGAATAGCTGAAAAAATGGAACCCCAAAATTAATTGGAAGCAAGGCACCATAATAAGATTATCATCTCCACCCATCCAGTTCCAGCCACGTGCAGAGACAAAGGATAACCCTGACTTTCTAGAAAGAATATTAAAGTTCTTCCTTACCAATATTGGGCCTTTTCTTAGCTGTGCATCCCACTGAAGTCCATAGTGGTGGATGACTCCTTCTCTGGGAAATCTGCCTTTTTTCTCCCCTTCACTTGTACTTTTGACAGCTATCTGTAGAATTCAGAAGATCTAGGAACAAAAAGTTGCTTACGGCATTAAATATTTACATAGCGATGTTAGAAAGGTGTGTGTAAATTATAAATAATGTAAGGCTGGATGGGTTTTGGTTAGAGCTAAGAGACCCAAATTGTATCATCATAATACATTATTTACAAATAATGCATCTATTCTTCTCCATTAGTGTTGCTGGAAAAAAGCCCCTGAGTGCTAAACCTGAATTTTGACGAGAGTAATAAATATGAGAAACAAATAGGGGTAAAGATGCAGATGTAGTTAAACAAGCGCAAATTGGAGTGTGTCAATCTAATTCTGCCCAGCCTCTTCTGAGTCAGAAGGTAGCACAGCAAGAGTTCCAAAAAGAAGACAGAGCACAATAAATCCAAATTATATAAATTAATTTAACTGAGTTCCCATTGGAAAAAAATCTAACAGTAAGAGTCAGAATTAAATCATCTAAACATATTGAAAATTAAAAACATTCTCTTCCAAAATTTATGGCATATAAATCATTTTGGCAAGTTAACAGGTTATTCTATTAATTAGAATGAGTCCAATATTCTTCCAATTAGATAAAATGTATGCCTGGTAAGGTCCTAAAATATAGGAAGGAAAAACCAAATGCACAGATATAGAATAGATGATACCTGGCTCAAGAGAAGTCACTGAGAGGAATCTTGGAGTCCTAGTGGAACACCAGTTAATGAGAGCCAGCAGTGTGCTGCAACTGCCAAGAAAACCAATGCAGTACCAGGCTGCATCAACAGAACAATAGTATCAAGATCACCAGAAGTATTAGCCCTGCTTTATACTGCTTTGGTAAGACCACACTTGGAATACTGCATCCAGTTCTGGTCACCATGATAGAAAAAGAGATCCAATCTAGAACTAACAAGAATTTTTCTGTCAGTAAGAACAATTAATCAGTGGAATGGCTTGCTTCCAGAACTTTCGATATTATTATTATTATTATTGAGCCGAGGTGCCGCAGTGGTTAAATGCAGCACTGCAGGCTACTTCAGCTGACTGCAGTTCTGCAGTTCGGCTGTTCAAATCTCACCGGCTCAGG